GAGTTTTGGGCCCTCCCCGGCAGTGGGGTGCTTACCACCGTCGTTTGTTTGTTTGAATATTTTAAGATCGTTTGCTGGCTAATGGGAGCATGGGTACCATCTCTGTGGATAACTCACCACTGACATTCGTAATACCCAGCAGTCTTCTTGCAAACTAAGACGTTATTTATTTAGTTTGAATGAAGTCTGGACTTGAAGCGTAACTGGATTATAGGTCGTAAAAGGCACTTTTGGCCTACCGTAATCAGAATTAGGCGTGACAGTAATGTTGGCTGCACAGACATGTAACTTCACGCCTCGGCCTGTTATCGCGCGATACGCCGCTTCATCATTGGGATGAAAATGATGGCTTTCTTTGGTTTGGCTAGTCCATCCCGAATATCTATTCTGTTTTCCCGTTACTTGTCTTTCCTCCTGGGGAGTGTTGCGAAAGAAGTGTTGCGAATGAAGAGATTAGATTGTATCTCCTTGCTGCAATCACAGATGACATCGTTGACTGCTGGATACATGGTTAAGGTGGCACCAAGATAAACAAGCTTCTTGCAACTACTACCAGAAACAATGCTCCATGAATGAAATTTTCTGAAGCTTCTAGCAACAAAACAGCGCTCATAATGTAGATCTTAGTTACAATTTACTAATTACGCGCACAGATCTAGCTGTGAGAGCGTCCTTTGACATGTCATATGACTGCTATACACGAGTTTAATTGTCTTTACTTTCAAGTGAACTGTTTCATTTAGGCGACGTATAAGAATGCTTAGCTTTTCGCCCGTGCACCGACAAGGTCTCGTTTTTTGAGCTCTTAGCCATCAACAAAGTTGACAAAAAAGTTTAAAGACCGGTCATGAACGAAAGCGATACCTATACTCATTAAAGGATTCGTCAAATTGGAAGAACTACAACATACTTTATGTGACGTTTATCATCAGAAGATAAGCAGCGCAAAACAGAACTGATTATGCAGTGTCTTGATGTCAATTGAATACAATAACTTCCCTCTCCCTTTGACGGCTTTGTTTCAGTTTACAAGGACTAGGATCACGGTCACTATAAAGCGTACCAATTTGGCGTCAATCGCCTGTCCTTGTTGCCATGTTAGTCATTTTCGAGTGTCAAAACAGACTAGACGAGCGTATCAGCTTGTTGGCTAAAAGACTTACACGGGAAGGATCATTGGTGCAAGTTCCCCTTGAAATTGAGTCGCACATATTTTTGAAGGAAGGAAGTTGATTTCAAATTTGTCTTCCTTGTCTGCGGAACACCTAAGGGTGAAGCTAGACCGTTTCAAAAATCAAAGAGAACGCACAACGAGGAAAAAACATTCCCCAGTCAGAGTTGTATGCAGGTCTGGGTATGAGACAGAAGCTGTTTCCCAGTATGGGTTTGGGACAAAAATTTCTTTGTAAAGAATGGTTTGACACATTTCTGCTTCATCTTAGCCCATGAGATGCTTCTGTTTACGATTTTTCCCTTTCTACGCCTTTCGATCTTCGTTACATAGCCGCTCCGCAGATAAAGAGGACAGATCTAGAAGCGGCTGATGCTTTGCAAAACCATATGTATGCATATCATCTCGAAAGGCTACTTCGATCAAGGATCCATCCTCAGTTAAGCGACAGCAAACTCGAAGAGAAACAATTTAACTCGAGAGTGTGAGGCTTAGCTTTATTTTGAACCTGGTTAGAAGAAAAATCACGAAATTCATGGGGTTCTCAAAACTCAAGCTTGTTGCTGGTCCAGCGGTTCCTTAAAAAGAAATCCACGTAAACTGCTGTGACTGGTAGGTAAGTACCTATCTACATATACACACAGCTGTGATATCAGAGCAGCTCACAGCACGACTGGGAATTGATACGTAACGTTGCTGCACATCGACTGTTCATCGTTCTCAAGCAATATGCTACCCACATCAATCCCACCACATATGCTACAGTCTTGTTCCATCGCAGCATAGTTTATTGGACGTAGATTTGCATGTTTCTGCAGTCAACATTACCGTCACGCCTAATTTTGATACGGTAGGTCAGAAGTGCCTTTTACAGTCTATAATTCAGTTGAAGCGTATGATGTTTTTGTAATTCGTGGTTAGTTAAAACTAACAACTTCCACTGTTTGTTTTTTTTATGGAACGTCTCGAGCGTATCTAATGGAAATGAAAATGAAATGTTGTGCGATATCGCGTCGTCTCGCAGCGCCGCCAGGCGCAATCACGCGTCGTCGTCAGTGGGTTAATGCCGGATGAAATGATTGGTTTGCACTCATTATCGAAGTTATAGAAATCCGCACTCTTTTGTTTCCGACCTCAAACTCAATTCAAATCAGTCGTGCGACATGTATTGATTTTTTTTATTTGAATTTCTTCGTTGTTTACAAGTATTCAATTGTTTTGGAACTAATGTGTAGAGAAATAGCCGATCCGTTAGCCTGTCTTTTGAATGTCATGCATTGAATTAATGCAGATCGGCACTGATCACAATTATGTTCTCGCTGCAAAACTTGACATCGTTTTGATTAGTGTGAATTCTTTTTCAAGTAACACGCATGCTAGAAGAATAGGCAAAATACTCGTTTCGTGCTAAGAAGCGGCATCAGAATGACCAGCTTGTAATTTGGTTTAAATTTAGCGCCTCAGGTGCTAAAAAATTGTGTAATCATGCACTTTACAAAAAATTGAAATTGATGGCATGAACAATTCTTTTATGTCGTACAGGTTTTTATTGGTGGCACACTTTATTACTGCCTTACGTTTCGGTTAAACACCGTCTTCAGAGGGGGAAAGAGCCAGTAATCTTGAAAACTTGTTTACGACATTTTACGTCAACTGTCGACAGCTTGCCAAAAGGGAAGGCGGAGAATTTAGACAGAATTTGTACAGAACATGTTAGAGCTTGCAATGTGAGTGGCATCGTCATTTCATGGTTGCTAACTGCAGTTTATTTTCTGGTTCAGTTTCACAAGTCGTTGTAAAAATGTTGCACCTGAGATTGTCGTAAATGAGCTTGAACTAGAATTCTCCAACGACGTGTCTTCTGAGTCTGAAGAGGAGCACGAAATTGCAGACGCGCCGGAGGAGCAGATGCCCGGGCCTTCGTCACGCCCTGGTGCGTTACGCATTGGCTTCCAGGAAAGAACTCGAGGACTATTCAACATAGCATTAAATCCTCTCAATGTTGTGAGAAGTTATTAATAGATGCAGTACAACAAAGATCAGAATCAATAGACGCTGAGCAATCGCCAAGGAAACATTTCAAAATGAGCAGCCTCGAGAAGGATTCAGAAAAGAAGAGCAAAGCACCAGTGCAAAAACCCGAAAGAGAGCCACAGTTGCCACATACAGCTCCGACACTGAACTTAAGCTATTTTTGTGTTATTTAGATAATTTCGTGTTTGTGTATACTGTATATGCGAAATCAAATTCTTAGTTTCCGCTAAACGGAAGAATGAAAGCCGAATTCTCCCAATTTTTGCCCCTGACATTCACACGTTTTTCTAGGCTTCTAAAAAGTTCCAAAAATTTTGCAGAACGACTAGAGATTCGCGATCGTTCAAAAACATACATTTTCTACTATTTGTCAAACCTCAGATGCATAAGCTAAGGCAATAACATCTCTTAGACCCTTTGCCTTATCTTCTCAACACACCTATTTTTCTAAAATTTTCAAAAATCTTGTGATTTTTGAACATTCGGAACATACGAGCCTTACATTTTTCAAAAACCTTAAGTATTTTAACTAAAAACCTAACATGTCCTAACCCCTTTTGCCTTGTTTTCCTCCACATTCGCTGATTTTTTCCACTTTAGAAAAACTTCGAAATTTTTTTCGTCATTTACATAGTAATAAGTGATTTTTATACTTCCAGTGCATCCGCATTGGCCAGCGAAAAATCACCATTATGAGCTGTACAGTATATTGACCGATACAATATATTGCATAGTCTCTTATTTAATCGGGGAGACAGGCTGGAAAATTGAATATGCTCACCCAGGAATCTCTACTCCGCCGTACCGGCCCTCCATCAATCCTTGGCTTTCGGGCCAAGGTCTCGGACCAGTTTGACCCAGAGAATTTTTCGGTTATAGCCGTGCCCGTTTGGCTCTACCCACACTTGAGTTAGGGCGTGTCAGCGGGTTTTTTAAAAATCGCTCCAGAATGATCCCAAAATTCTAAAAAAATCCTAGCGTAGTCAGGCACGGACCAAATGTGTCTGCAAAATTGCGGACCCCCAGCTCTACCATAACCCGTAAGCTGAACCGACTTTTTTCCAATTTCTGAGAGTTCGATTTTCTAAAAATCACCCACTATTCACCAAAATCATCAGATAGATGTAGTTTAAGAAAGCAACTCAAACTTTTTTTTCGTTTTTTATACTACGTCTGAACAGTTTTGGATTTTTACGTTTACGAGCTAGCATGCATGCAGAAAGTTTTAGCTTTTTAGATGCACTCAGTACAAAGATCAAGGTGCGTCCTACTGAACTCACAGCGTCCAGATGCACGCACGCGCGTGCGATGGCACGAACTGCGGGGTTATGGCACGCAGGAACATACCTTTATTGTAAGGGATTTACTGTTGGTCCAAAAAACGCAAAAGACATTGGCATCAGACTATAATTTTATCTCTAGTTCGGGAAAGTCTGAAAAGAGAGAAAACTGTGGTGAAAAAGTTTGGAATGGCTTTAAGTATTGAAATCTTACTGCACGTAGGCTTCTTCCCTGACAGGGCATTTCATTCAGTTATTTTTTCTTTCCATTTTAGTCTTGAGGTGGAATAAAGAATATTGCAAGCAAGATTAAGGATTTTAAAACTAAGCTTATATAACTTAGAGACTAACAAGAAGAAAAAAAAGAAAAGGCTTACATTCTTTGTGACATTGACGAGTGCATATTTAAGATTTGTTGTGCTAAGACTGACATTGAGGGAAATGCTTTATTCATCTCGCGTAACTTAATGGGTGGTCTATTGTCCTCTGACTTTTTTAGACCCCTTGCCGAAGTCCAGGTCAATAGTGCAGTATTCCTTTTGTTCTCCTTTGCGTAGATCATAGATGCGTAGATCTTTGCGTATACATTTTGATGGAATTTCTAAGCGGAATTCTTTCGGAGCACTCTAAACAGCTTTCGTATGATCTTATTATTAGGTTGTCCCGAAAGTTTTGTCCGTTTCTTCAACCTATCATAATAATACGTGGAACAAAGGTAGGGAAACGCTTTAAGCACTACCCGACGCATCTTTTCCTCCTCTTTCTAAATGTCAAGTCTCCATGTCGATTACTCTTTTGTTCACTGAGATAAACGCCAAAATTTCGAACCTATGGTTTTTACTATGTCCAAGTTTGGCAAATTTTCACAATCTTTATTTTTGACTTTCGGAAAAGCTTTGGCAACAGTTAGATAGAGCAAGCAAAGGGCAATATAATGCAATTTTGCGGCATCCATAGCCAGCCTTGAAAATTTTTTAAAATTATTTTTCTGATGCTATCAAATTCCACTTTTGGATGCCAAAAGCCAGAGATTGAAACGGCGCACAACTAAGGTGTTATTCGATGCAGCTTTTCCTCCTCTTTCCAATGGGTGTATTTCCTCTCCAATTTGCGGGGTCTTTGGCGATGAAATTTTCATAATTTTGAATTTGACCCCACCCCAGCGTGTACACGTATAATGCGAAATCTTATATTTCGAGGCGGTAAACACTCATTTGCTTCGTAAAAATACTGAATAATCGTAATCGGTTTTTGAAAGCTTCAAAATCCGATGATTTGTTGGTGTTCGAGGCGTTTCTGTATTTTAGAACTTCGCAAAAGTGAAGACTTTTGAAAAAATTATCTTTAAAAATATTGAAAAGCCAGCTATGCCAAACATGATATGCCAAATAATTGCATTGCATTGCCCTTTGCTCACTCTGTCTGAGGGCTATCAAAGTTCTTCCAAAAGTTGAAAATGAAGATTGTGAAAAATTGTCAAACTTGGACATAGTAAAAACCATGGGTTCGAAGTTTTGGCGTTTATCTCAGTGAACAGAAGATTAATCGGCATGGATGCATGACATTAAAAAGAGGAAGAAGAGATGCGTTGGGTAGTGCTTAGGCGTTCCCCTTTCTTTGTTCCACATATTTTTATGATAGGTTGAAAAAACGGACAAAACTTTCGGGAAACATAATAGTTTGGTTCTTCGGTTTTTTAGAAGTCTCACTGTTTATTAGCAAAGAGAAAACAAGCTGTACCGTGTTACTGTTGCATCTGTAATAGATTCTGAGTTCTGGATCGATTTCAGATACTTCTACGGCACTACCTGCAATTTTATAAAATCCTTTGTTGTCCGATTTAACTTCATTTAGCTTTCGGTGGAATACTGAAATCATGGTTTGAATTCAGCTCCTTTGCAGTTCTAACTCACTAATTTCTTTTTCGTACAGCTGTATTACCGCTGTAGTATCAGGTTTACCGTTACAAGAGATCCTTCCTTTTACTGCAACTGACTGTATAGAACCGAGTGAAACAGCAAAACCGTAACACGATGGGAGAAGACACAGGAAGATCAGTACTTGCATCCTGTAATCATGCCTTTCTGTCTAATGATGAGCATTGGTTTGAGAAATTCGAAAATTTACCACTCAACTAGTAACCGCTACTCCGGTAACTAGTCTGGTGACTAGTCATTCGTTGAGTTAACGTTAACAACTTGAAGTCAACGAGCTAATTAACTTACTAACCAAACCTTTATAACTGCAGATACTGCACTTTGTTACTACATAGAAAGAATCAAGAGAACCAATTCCTTTCCACACATAACCGGTTTCGGGGCCAAGAACTAGACCGGATGTGTGAGTTCCTTGGTGCCCCCGCGTATTCAACCCTTTCCTCAGTAGTTCTCAAGGAAGTGCAAAAGAAAGAGTATAGGATAGATATCTAATAGAGAAAAAGTAATACAGCCATGCAGCAAGTCCAGTCAGGTAACAATAAGCAGTCAAGAGAGCATCCGCTAATATATTTTGAATTCAAAATTTCCTTGCTTAGTAGATCACTGATCTGTACAGCTACTAACTATCATCACATTGACTCGCCAACTTCATGGAATTGAAGCAAACAGATGTGTAGGTGTAACATGCGTGATTAATAGAACCATTTTAATCATGCTACTGGAAGAGGCTAGATTGAAAAAATTGCAGAAATTGGTCATTTGCTAAAGGAAACTTCCTGAGACAGCCTTAACATTTACACAATGTTTTCTAAATTAAATGAGCAGACAAAACAATTGAAACTTAAAAAGAAGAAGAATGAAGAATGGATACCGCTTTCAATCCACGTTTTCTTATGCCCATACTCTTCGCACGAGAATTTTACAGAAAGTTATCGCACTTCTTCGTAACTAAAAATCAAAAAAAATGAGGACCGGAATGCTGCAAGCAATGGCAATGTTGGCTGTTCCCACATAAGTAAACCTATCTTTGCAGGCTGAAATATTAGGTTGAATCATAATTAATGCACGTTTTCTATGCTTCAACTTTCAACCGAGATAATTCTTTTTTGAAAAGACTTTTCTGGGCGCAATGAAAACTACTGTAACCATCAAATCAGTGGCTATAAAATAGATACTTTTGCGTGGTATCTATTACAAGAAAGATTTTCTAACCTGAAGATTGCCAACATCTTTTTTCGGAAGCCACTTTTGAGAGAGCATAACTTACGTTGAAATGAAGTAGGATAAGGCAGACTTCATTCTTCGTGTAGCCAAGGGTCTGTTGAGCAGTAATGCCTAGTTTGGATTTTACGGAAAATTCTTGAAAGCAAATGTCGCGAAAAAGTCGAAAGTACTCACTTTTTTTCTGGCATCTCGGCGGGTTCAAAAATCTTTTGAAAAATCGGTCTTTTTGAAATTATTTCACTTTTCTCCGCTGGAAAGTGAGAAAACTCTAGCGCTTTTCTACCATCAAATGAACTAGGTCAACCCTTGGTGGATAGTGCAAAAGACCTGCAATCGCCTTTTGCTTCAAAGTTTTATATGGCACGGAAGGGCCGCGACGATCATTCAAGTTCGCAATTGAATTTCTCGGCTCAGAATTCATGGAATATTTTGTTCAAAAAGCATCTTGTAGCACAAAGTTTCACAATCCTTATGCATATTTTTTGAAATTAATCCAGCTATTCCTCTTGAATTTAGTGCAAAAAGAGTGAAAAGCAAAAATTTTGGGATTTAGTCTCTATTATTTGAAGGCTTAGAACTTTGAAACGAAAGGAGATGTACGAAAGCGAAGGCCCGCATAAGAAACTAGAAAAAACGCTCTTTTAGAAAGCGTAAAAAGTTTTTAAGGAGATTGGTTACACATCAAATACCAGCCCTTGGAAGAAAAGGTAGGAAAAACGTGCATTAATTATGAATCAACCTAATAATTTCTATTTTTTAGCCCTGCTTTTCAAAAAATTTGAAATGAGATAAAACTTTTTTCTGATAAAATCAGAAGGATAGTCTGGAAACGAAAAGTTTGGCGCACACATGAACCGAACCTTTACAAATTTTGCAGCTCTCAATTTGAGATTGCCTCTTTTGGCATCAAAGCAGCCCTTCGCAATTTTGGCGAGTCCGCCTGTCGTAGCACGTAGGCAGTCGATGAAGTTCGTCCCACTTCATGATAACTGCTTCTTTCACTAGGCAAGTATGCAATGCGATAGAGCAAGCTTTTGGTTACGAAATGTTACGTTTGTTGCAATGTTCAGGAAAAAATTCTGGAATTTTTAGCGAAGGAAAGTGTACTTGCCTATTGGAAATTTGGGTGAGATTGCGCGGACGGGAGCGAAAAACATAATCTAAAAAGTACTGAAATTGCTCCATTTATCGAATTCAAATAAATGCTTTCAACGAAGATTCATGGGAAGAATATAGCCTAAAACTCAACCTGCTGCGCTCCTATAGCTTTCAAATTTATTTTGAAAACACATGGCTGGCACGCAGATAATATTCGCAATCGTTTTCTGAAGAATAGTTTCGAACGCAATCACTACGATGTGATAGCCCCTCCTCCATATTGTCTGCATAGTTTTATAGAATAATCACAAGATCGTTAGCTACCATATAAATTGTGAATACTGGAAATTTTCATTCACTCGCTTTGCAGAAGCACTTCTTTGACAAATCCAGTTCTTACAAAAATATATGGCTAGCATTTTCAGTTAGAAAGCGTGATTTGTAGAGGATGATCGCGGTATGTGGCAATTTGGATTCAAAAACAGCAGTGGTCTCGTGATTTATAACACTGCAAATTCGGTTCCCTGAGTTTTGCCCCATCCTTTATGTTCGTGAATTTGGAGGCGGGGGAATTTTTAGACAGAAATTCGACGATAGGATCTTTGAAATTTTTTGTGCCTTGGCTTCAAACTTCTTATGAATCAAACCTTGAGCGGATATTCTCTAACTCTCTCTTGTAGAACTTGCTTTGCTTTAACGAACAATCATGTAACAATCTATGGGAAACCATCACGTGTAATGAAATAGACGCATTAGATTCTTCAAAAATCTACTCACTTCTCGAAATTTGTGAAAATAGAAAACATGAGTGGGAAGGCATATCCAACTGATGTTTCCCAAAAGATGTTCCAACGTCTGATCGTTGATATTGCCATTGCGCTAGTGTCTTTCGCCAATCTTCAGGTGGTACTTGTAGAGCTGGCTTCAACTTATATTCAAAGTTTAGGACAAGCCACCAAATCTCCATGAGTTACCGTCGTATTGTGGTAGGAATTTTGAAATTTTGTATAACATACAAAAATCTCGTTTCAGAGATGTCATATGCACGCACATTCCCGCTGGGAAGGGTAGGGGTGAGAGGGAGAGCGTCATCCCTAGATAAAGGCTACTGCATGACGAAGGCGCAATAGCAGTATTAGTTGAACGGGCGCGAACTCGGCGCGCGCATATCTTCACCGTTGTAAATCCTGCGCCTTATGCGCTCTGCGGTTAATAAAACCGCGTTTGCGCCCAAGGGTATTGCGCCTTCCAGTAGCGTACCGAGGGGAGGAGGGGGGGGGGGGGGGCGCGGCCCCTCCCGAGAACGGGTCGCGAAATTATAGAAAGTTACTTATATAGATTATAAAATTGTGCAAATGACTTGTCTGCACTTGTAAATAATTAAAATAATTTTCAAAATTTTTTAAAAATTCATTTTAAACCTTATAGAAAATTTTTTTTCGGGGACGTGGCTGACGCCACGCCCCCTTTTTCTGAAATTTTGGGGTTACGGGCCTACGAAAATTTTGAGAAGCATACCAAAAATTTTTTGTCGCCCCCCACCGAGCCGAAATCCTGGGTAGGCCACTGGCGCCTTCATCATGCAGCAGCCTTTAGTTCTTTCTTTCTTCACGCTGTGAGGGTTCTACACCCTGACAACTATTTATAACGGATAACAGAATAATGCCACACAAATTGGGATTTTCAGTGTTTCTTGTAATATCCCCAGTATATCATCCATTGTTTTCGAAGCTCTCCATTTTTCCAGGGACTCGACGAAATCGTATAGTTGTAATGAAATTTTACCATGACACTGTTAGGAATGTTTTCAACAAGACAAGTAGATTGTGCAGGTTGTGAATTTTTCGATGAACAAAGACAAACAAAGTGAAACAATACTCATTGCTTCCCGACGCTCTGACAGTAAAACGTGAAAAACAACAAAAGTGTCGAAGACACGAAAGTGTATGTGCAAAGAATGCGCCGCAACGGCTATTTATGTAAGCAGCTTTACAATCGCATTATATTTGATTTCTGACATAAGAAAATGGTAATTGCATTGATGTATCGGAGAGACTGGCGTCCCGAAGCACTGCGAAACATTAATTCCTAACGTTAACGACCCAGCAAAAAATTTGACAAACCTCAATGATTCTAGGAAACATTCGAAAGTGGCATAGCAATAAAATTCTAAAAAAACACAAAAGCGTCCGCGTAAACTAAAAAACTCAAGCCTTCCCTCCGCATTTTTACACATCTAATCTGAGCATTCTTTGCTGTATCAAGTTTCTGTCCAAGTGAGCTTTTTTGAGGAAGTCTGCACTGCTTGAGTAAGAAATTGCGCCTTATTTTTCACTTTTCAGTATTAAAACTTTTTCATGAGACCGCAGAGGGATGAAGCTGTTGAATCAAGAAATTTGGCTTTTGTCAAGTCAGTGTTTGTTCTGAGCATAGGTCGTTCCTTGGCAACCATATGCATCAGCGCTGTATATTGCTCCAAAATCATAAAGACAGTTGACAGGAAAAAGTTTTCCATTATTCAATTATTTACATCTAAGAACAAGTGACTTGCACTTTTTACTCGTTATAGAGTAACGTCTCGAAGAGATATTAACATGTTCTGATATTTGCGCATTTTTCAAAGTTTATAGCCCATATCTCTGATAGAAGATGCGAAAGAGAACGAGCCGCGCAGACTTCTACTACAAACAGGCACGTTCAGACATAACATTAAGATGCAGCACGTGCCAGCTGGTTGCGAAAGGTAGAGCTTATAGTTGAGAAGAGATCTGTTCATATGAACTACCCGAAAAACGCAATCGTTCAATTATTCGAATCGATTGAATAATTGCGTTATATTAGGTAGTTATACAAGTCTTGTTACACTTAATTTCTGACGGCGATAAGTCATGCATCTCATATTCTTTACAGAGCTCCAGGATACCATTCGACAGAGCAAAGCAAGCTCTACAAGACAGTGTGCAAAAGTTCGCACCAACTTTGACCCACTGTAACTTCGCATCCAAAATCTGAGTTGTCGTGAGGGCTCAAAAACTGCGAAAAATTCATATCTTTGTTCAGAAAAATCCTACGAATCTCCAACCTGCTCATAGAAATTGTCCACTATGTCATATACTCATATGTACCGTTGCTGTATTTTTTCCTTATCTAGAAATCGAGAAAAGGAAAATTTTTTTGTTTTTGTAAAAACGAAGCTATGCTGTTTCTATTCATGTAACTGTATACTACAAGCCTTTAGAAGTATAAGGGAACTCCAGAGTGCGCCGATTGCCGCTTTTGCAGCCGAAGCGCACTGGGTCAGATGTGGTTTATAGGGAGTGTAGGGTTCTCCTTATTCGTGCTACTTTCTAGGCCACTGGCTTACTTTCTAGGCTTGCTGGCCTCTTTTGTCGCTATTCTTTCGTTTTGGATGTTATGTTTACGTTGTAGTAAGATCGTTCCAGGAGAGGCTTTTTTCGATCTGAACAATGCTGGAGTGATCTCAACACTGTTTAAGAAAGCTTTCTTTTATCCCTTTTGCTGTGTAAGTATTCGTTGAAGTTAGCAAACGACTGGTAGACGGAGTTTTCTCATGTGGTTAAGATTTTCAGGTTAACTTTTTGCCCTAGTCGAACAATTTCATTAGTTCTATGGGTTTTGCGAAGTTTGTCTTTTGGTTTGAAGCTATGTATTATATACATTGATGTTTATCTTCGCAGAACGTTGTTTAAGTTCAGTTTTCATTTGGAACAAGATGTTTTTGATGTCTTTCCTGGCAGGAATTTGATCTAATACTATGCTGGGTAAGATATTGAACGATGTTTTTTGTATTTTTCTTGTTAATGAAACTGTCCCATTGTGCTAAGGAGCGACATCGTTGTGGAACGAGGCTCCAATGTAATCTTTGCTATTCGTCCCGTTTTATTATGCTGATTACGCGATCCTACGCAAAGTGGAGGTGGATTCAGCAAGCATAGAATAGGACCAAGTGGTTGCACCGAAAACCTAGTTTCACAACGATATCGCTCCTACAGCATTGGGAACAGCTCCAACCAGAATAGGAAAAATAGCGTTTGCAGTGCCGAGTTTTGCTTAGTGAGGGATATCATTTCGCATCGAGATTCCTCACCCAACGTAGCAGACGAGTCTCAGGACGGAATAGCCATCAAAAAGGCTTGTCGCAAGCATATATCTCACATAACGTAGCAGTAATGACAAAAGAAACTGCATTGAAACGGTTCTGCGAAAATGTAACTCTCTCGAATGTGGTAATAATATACCTTCAGTACGTAAGATAAAAAATCCTTATTTCCCGTCGAAATCGGTCCATTAACACAAAAGACCGAAAATGAAAATTAGATAAGAACAACTTCGTTCAACAAAGATAAGAACAATTTCGTTCAACAATGGTTTGGTTATCATTTCATGTCCCACAGCGATGCAAGCAAAAATAACCTTTTTTTAAACAAATTAGTTCACTACAACATAAACAGAACATTGGAAACGGAATCGACGAAAGATTCTGACAATGAGTAACAGCAAGTATCCCACCAGTACGAATGAGACCTCTCGCCTCATAGACCAAATCTGACCCATTGCGCTTCGGCTGCAAAAGCGGTAACCGACGCGGTCTGGAGGCACCCTAACCAGGGCCCGGCACGGGTTGGTTTGGAGCATTTTCGGAAACGAAGTCCGCTATGAACTCGCGAAAATTTACGAAGTCCTTTTTGACGTAAAATTCAGTGGGGAAACCCTTGTTCAGACAACATAACAAAACACAACGGTAAAAAAGGGATAAAAGCGAGTTTTGAGAAACCTAATATAACAAAAAAGCAAAAAAACATTCTGTGTCGATTCAATTCTTGAGTTTGGTACCATTCCGGTGTTCAGAACTGGGAACCATACCTTCGATAGTCTAGAGACAGGGCTCCAAAAGTAAAGGTTGTTAGAACATCTGACTTTATAAATAGTGAAGGTTGTCCAAAGAAGATCAGAGAAGAGGAAATGACGTAGAACAGATATAAAAAGCAAAAAAAACTGTTGTAAACCGGATAAAAACGCTGCAATAAGGTTGAAGTCTTTCATTTGGCGGCTTTTCAGAGTGCAAGTTTTCGTTCCAGGACCAGCAATTTGCAACACGGGGTTCTGATTTTTGATGCGTCCTTTGAGTTTTTACCCCCTCATTGACGTTCCTATTTGCTGGGACGTTGTCTGGATTGTTGCGCTTATTGTTCTGAGCAACAATCGCCTAAGCTTGAAAAAAATTGATGCGAAAGCACTGAAACAGAACAAGGTAAAGAAAAACGCACTTTTTACGATTTTTCGCAAAAAATTCCACCATAATCGAAGAGGTAAGGGCTGGGTGGTTGTCAGCATTATGAACAGAAGCAAGATCTATAGAATGCACGAAAAAACCGCCTGAAAAGAGTTAAACTAGGAGAAAAACAAGAGCTTTTCGAAAACAAGGTTTTTTCCGGACTTCTCGATCAAATCAAAAAATGTGGTTCCGGGACGTTGTCAGCGTAAAAATAGAGATCAAGAGCTTCAAAATGATATATAGCTTGCATAAATCGGGTTCAAAACAGCGAAGAAAAGGGCACCAGAGCCAAATGCCCCGCGCCCGCGTTTGAGGTAGCGAGGTAGCACGCAGCGCGCGGAGACGCAGACGAGCAGCGGAGACAGACCAGAGCCGACGGGGCATTTGGCTCTGGTGATAGATCTCCGCGGGGTCTCAACGAAACTCTGCAACATTATATATCATTCTGATCGTCATAGTCCGACGAGGAGAACTGACAACGTCCCAAACTTTGAAACTCACTCATTAACG